TCTTGGTTCCGTGGGATGTCATCGTAGAGCCATTTGCAATCGCTGGAGAGGGAGCTTGGAGGCTGGATTGGAAGAGACCCTGCGGAAAAGGGAAGTTCGTGCAGGTGCTGAAGGTCGTGGGTCGAGGCTTGCTGTCCCTTACCCCTCATGCAACCGAATTGCAGGGACGCTCGCCCCCAGCTTACGAACGCACAGACTGACGGTCCTAGAAGTGAAGTCACCTGCCAGTGAGGGCTAGTCAAGGTTGTTGTGGGACCCACATGGGCCTGCCCCTTCCTCCAGGCCACCTTCTCCTCTTCCGGCGTCTGTCCATCTGTCCATCTCATCGGTGCTCCTCTCCTGCCAAGTGTGTCTTCTGCCACATCATCTCACCTCCTTTTTTTTTTTTTTTTAATGTTTATTTATTTTCAAGAGAGCGCGTGCGCACGCAGGGGGAGGGGCAGAGAGAGCCGGGGACAGGGGATCTGAAACAGTCTATGCTGACAGCAGTGAACCCAATGGGGGGCTTGAACCCACCAACCGTGATCATGACCTGAGCCAAAGCCACACGCTTAACCTACTGAGCCACCCAGGCTCCCCTCATCTCACCTTCCGAAGAGGGTGCTGATCTGGAGAGGAAAAGGCCAGCATTGGAGTTGCAGTTCTGCACCTTTTTGATCTTAGGCAAGTCACTCAACCCCTCGGTTCTGTTCGCTTTCCTGTGAAAGGAGAGGGTTTTGCTACATGATCGCCAGGACCGCTTCCTGCTCTGACTCAGAACATGACACACAGAAAACTAACGAGGAAAAGTCCTTGCTGGCATCATTTCTCCTCTGCCATCTTGTACACAGGCCCCTTCTTCCTCCACCTGTCATAGGAGGGGATGCACGCAGAGAAACTACAAGCCAGCCGTGGACCAGAGCAGAGGTCTACAGTGTCATCCACAACCTCACCGTGTTTCCTGGGCCACGTCCTCCAGGCGCCCTTTCACCCCATCCGTCTATAGCATATGGCTGAGCACCTGCACTGTCTCTAAAATCTGCAATTTTCATGCCTTCCCTGAACAGCAGATCTTAGGCCGCAGACCAGACTCCTCCCACCTCTCTGCCAAACTCCTTCAGGCTTGCCTGCCTCTGTCCTGACACTGTCCTCCTGTCCCTGCGAGAGTGGGGTCCCTCCTCTGGCCTCTGCTTCCCTCCTTCCTTCTGTATCGCACCCCCAGGAGCCACTCCCCAGACTTGTCTCCTCCGTTGGGTTTTCAGCACTTCCCTTCCTCCTATCAACTTCCCTTCCTGTCAACATTGAGAAACTTGGCCCTTCCACCCAAAAAAAAAAAAAAAAAGAGAAAGGAAAGGAAGGAAGGGAAGAAAGAAAGAAGGAAGGAAGAGGGGAGGGAGGAGGGAGGGAAGGAGGGAAGGAAGGAAGGAGGGAAGGAAGAAGGGAGGGAGGATGGAAGGGTAGGAAGGGAGAGAGGAGGAAGGAAGAAGGAAGGAAGGGGAAGGAGGAGGAGGGAGGGAAGGGAGGGAGGGAGGGAGGAGGGAGGGAGGGAGGGAGGGAAGGGAGGAAGGAGGGAAGGGAGGGAGGAGGGAGGAGGGAGGAAGGGAGGGAAGCTGGCGAGGAGGGAGGGAGGAAAGGGGAAGGAGGAAAAAACCCATCCCTTCTTTTAATCTCTAAAACACTCATAGTCCAGATTCACCTTCCATCTCCCTGGCTACTCTCTTAAGTAGTGTTGTTGTTTAATTTAAAAACAAAAGCAACAGTTGTGATAGTGGGGCACCTGGGTGACTCAGTTGGTTAAGCTTCTGACTCCAGCTCAGTCAGGATCTCCCCAGTCATGATTTCAAGCCCCGCGTCAGGCTCTCTGCTGTCAGGGCAGACTCTGCTTCAAATCCTCTGTCCCCTCTGCCTCCCTGCCCTCTGCTTTATATTCTTCTTTTCTTTTTTCTTCTCAAAAGAATAAACATTTAAAAAAAAAAAAACAGTTGTGATAGTATTTGCCAGTGCTTTCACCCCTGGCTGTTCTCTGGTTCCACCCTCTGGCTCTGCCCCACCTTCCTGCTCCCTGAACAAATCTTGTCTATTCCCGGACTTCAAGTACCCAGATCACCTCCTTCAGCCCAAGCCTTCCCTTAAACCCGATCAACCCCCAAGCTCTCTGTCCCTTCTACCTCTTGAATCTATCCTTTCCTCCATTTTACTATTGCCGGCACCTTTGGGGCCATCACCAGCCGCCCTTTCAGGGACGGTGACAACCTCTCGTCCATTCTCCTTCCCTCCAATTTGACTCTTTCTGTTTAAGATCTAAAAATGCCTATGCTGGCGTGACAGGTATATGCAGAAAGTTGTAACATCTGGCAAATAATTGGATTACAATGGCAACCCTTGGATTTGATCCTCATTCCCAAAAGGCTGCATTAGAAAGATTAAATTGGCTTCAATTTAGCTGGGGCATCACACACTTGAAAAGGGGCTGGGGATCAGTTGCTTCATCCGAAAAATAAGGGTTTGGGCTAGACCAGTGCCTCGCAGAGTATGCCCAAATCCTCAGAGTTTCTGATTCTGTAGGTCTGGGGTAGGGCCAAAAACTTTGCATTCCTAACAAGCTCCCATGTGATGGCGATGTTGCGGTCCACAGACCACACTTAGAAGAGCAGTGGACTAGACGATATCTGCGTATTTTCATTTCTTCACCTGCGCTACCCAATGTGGTAGCCACCAGATACGTGGCTATTTAAATTAATAGTGTAATTAAATTAAACATTAAATTAAAATTCAGTTCCTCAGACATACTAGCCACGTTGGAAGGGCTCAATAGCCACGTGTGTCTGGGCACCATTGTGGGGCATGGTTGGTAAAGGGAAGGATATGGTGACTGAAGTCCTGCGAGTCCCCACAGGGCCCCCTCTCTGAGCCTCTGTATCTAATCTGCAACGTAGTCTAGAAATATCTACCTCACAGGGAGATGTGTAAAAAAAAAAAACACCTGTAATTCACACGAAATTCCGGTTCCTTTTTTCTTCCTCCTCTGTGCTCCCATAGCATGTGATGCACATTCCGATGGTACTTCTGTGTTCTAGTGATGTGTCTCCCCAGGCTGGGGACAGCTGCAGCACAAAGTAAGGTCCCTGGCAGACTGGACTCCCCTTCAGCACCTCCTCCGTGCCAGGCTCTTGCTCCAACAACGTGTGAATGATTAAGTCTCGCGCTGAAGCCAAGTGTCATTGCCTGGCTCTCCACAACCGTTCTCGTGCTGTCTTCAGCCTGGAGTCCCTGCCACCCCCATCCTGACCCACACTCCACCTTTACTCACCCAACAGCATCTCTAGCTGGACACAATCTAGGCGGTCTCAAGGATCAGCATCCCAAATGAACTAATCAGCTATGGAGTCAAATCCTGCCTCGAACCGCTGCCTTCCCCAGGACCCTGGGTGACGTTTGCAATCTCGCTAGTCTTCATTTTCGTAATCTATACATTGAGCAGGAAAACAACTTTCAGTTTTGATATAAGCTTTACATGCGAAAATGCATGCAGAACATTTAGCAGAACGCCGAACATATAGCAAATGCTGGCTTATGTCTTTTTATGAAAAACATTCATTTCTGGTCTCCAGCACTTGCCTTCTCAGGGACTCTGGTGGGTATAAAGGCATGTTTTAACCGCTCTGGGAAATTCTCCATTCTGCAACAAAATCCAATCTTTTAGACACTTAGCCCTTATGTTATTCTTTATTTCAAGCCGTTCATTTAGCAAACATTTACCGGGCTCTTACTATTTATTTGCCACACATTGTGCTAGATGCTGGTCATACAAAGATTATAGAATGCCTCTGCCTGGAGGAGTTTATAATCTAGCGGGGAGCCAACTTTCTCTGGAAGCCTGCCTTGTCCCCCGGGCCTCAGGCTGGGTAGAAACCCCCGGGGGTCTAACTACCATGAGGCTCAGGGGCTGCCCTCTACCCTGTGCTGAACCACATTGCCTTCCCTTTTTATCCCAAATATGTGTTTGTCCTTGTTCTAAGTAAGTTAATTCATTTCACAACAAACTTACTGTCATTATTCCCATTTAACGAATGAGGAAATTGAGGCACGTTTTAGGATCTTGTAAACTGATTAAGGAGAGAAGCCGGTATTCGAAAACACGGTTTCTGACTCCAGCTTTACACTTTAAATGTTTTAAATGTTCTGTTTATCTGGTTCCTCCATCGGAAGACGAGGTTGAGTCTGTGCCAAACTCCGATGGATATCTCCTGTGCCCACCACGATGTCTGACACGACAGATAATCATTTATTTATTCATCAGATGAAAGAAAGGAAACAATAAAAAAGAAAAGAAAGAAAGAGAGAGGAAAGAAAGAAAAGAAAAGAAAAGAAAAGAAAAGAAAAGAAAAGAAAAGAAAGACGCTCGTAAGTAGACAATTGCACCACGGTCTGGTTACCATTTACTAAGCATCAACACGGGGCAAGTGCCCGGGGTGTGCAGAGGGAAGCTCAAGATTAAATGAACATCCGTGCGCTCAGAAGTTTCAACAATGTGTCCACAACTGCGTTTCCCCCGCCCCCAAACACACACACCCGCGGCCTCTCTTCTCTGGCCCCGTTCCCTTCTTCTGAAATTCCCGCTCCACCTCTTCCTCCCCCTTGCCATCCTCTCCGTGGATTTCTCGTCCGGGCTTTCCCGAGCTCCGGACGCGGGAGAGGGTTAGGGCCTGGGAGCGCTCCGGCAGCGGCAGGCATGCGCACTGGGGGCGGCGCACTGCGCATGCGGGAAGATGGCGGGCCTGGAGTCCTGAGAACCGTGGGTCGCCCTGCTCTCCTCCGGCCTGCTCCGTAGCTCCCCAGGTCGTGGGGCAGTGGCGCGTTCGTTCGCGGGCCGGCCTAGGCAGCGGCGCCTCCGAGCAAGCTGCAGGCCCGGGTCGTGCTCGGCCTCCGGGAACCGGCGCGTTGGGGGCGGCGCCCGGCCGGAGCGGGAGAAGGCGGGAGAGCTCGCGGGGTGCGAGGCGAGGGGCGGCCGGCTGGGCAGCATGAGTCAGCAGCGGCCGGCGCGGAAACTGCCCAGCCTGCTGGTGGACCCGGCGGAGGAGACGGTGCGCCGCCGGTGCCGCGACCCCATCAACGTGGAGGGCCTGCTGGTAAGCCCCCGGGGGTGGCTCGTGCCCCGAGCGCCCGGGGCCCTGGCGCGGCGCGGGGTGGGGCGGGGGCGGGTCCCAGGCCCGGCCGCCTGCTCTCGTTTCGCGGGGAAGCCGGACCCACAGTCGTCTGGGTCGTGAGTTCCCTCTGGGCCGGGTTCCTGGCTGCTCGTCGGTCTCCCCGCCTCTCCCGCAGGCTGGTCGGTCGGTCGGTCGGTCGGTCGGTCATTCACGTGAACTCTCTCGCCTTCCCATTCAACACTTGCTCCCAAACGTGTTGTCAGTCTTCCTGGCTGTTACCTCGGGGCTGCGCAGCGCTGTTGGAGAATATTGCCCAGCATCGCGTTGTAAAGCCCTGTTTTTCTACCAACACTGGATCCTTGCTATATTTCTGCAACGTATTTGGGTTTTTTTCTTCATTCTCCTCTCTCATTCTCTTAACTGCGGCCATTTAAAACCTTGTGCACACTACGTTTCCCACCCCGCAGCTGCCCATTCAGCAAATTAAGGAAGCTTGTGCTCCCTCCCTGCGTAAGGTTAATTTCCTCTATTCTTGCTCTAGACTACAAGCAGTATATTCTCCTTGGTTCTCAGAGGCGTTGATGGATTCATCATTTTCTGTTTCTCCCCGTGTTTTCAACTTCTCTGCTTGTTTCTTCCCGTAATGACTAAATGTTTGCTGAAGTTAATATTAAGCCCAATCCCCATGGTGACTCAGTCCTCAAAAATAGTTTGTGAGCACAGTCTCATTTAATTCTTCACAGCAGTCCCGAGACATTACTATTCTTGTTCTCCGTTTGTCAAAATAGACTTGGAGATGTTAAGCGACTTGCCAGCGATTAGATCGTGCCTGGGAAAGCCTGGATTTAACCTCCCAATGTCCAACCCGTGATGATGAATTCTTGACTACGTACTTAAACTGCGTCCTAAATATTTCCCCATCTCAAAAGAGACTTCCTTTCATCCTAGTTGCCCTTTCATCTACTGTATCTTCCCTCCATACTTTTCCAAAAAACTGTTTGGATTCCCTGTGTCCACTGCTCACTGTTATTACCACTGGGGAGGGGGTGCTCTGCCCTGAGCACAGCTCTAAGACTGTTTTAACCAAGGTTGCCAACAACCTTGTCAGTTCCAGCAGATGTCTGACTCCTTATCTCTGTAGTTTTGACACAACCGACCGATGTCTTGCTTTTGTTGGAAACTCGCTTTGAGTCGCTTCTTTGATGCAACCTGCTCGTGGTGCTCCAGATGTAGTCATCTGGTCTCTCCTGTGCTCCCCTGCAAACTCCTCTTCTTCTCCACATTCCTTACATGCCCGTGTTATTTGGGGTTTTCTTCTACCCTCCCTACGCATTCTTCGTGTGGGGCGTCATTCATCCCTCCTAGGATTTCTGGTCCATTCTTTATTGTTACCATCTCTATTGGTGGGTCTTCCCCTTTGAGAATTTGATACAAGCCCTGAACTCTCACCATCGAAAAACCACTTAATTTTGTATTTAATACCAGAAGAATACACACATCCCTTGAAGTCTTAGATATTCTTATCTACTTTGGTAGTTTCGGTTGCCACATCATAATGACTCCCAAATCTATAAATTCAGCTCAGTTTTCCAACCGTCTACTCGACATCTCTACTTAGATTTCAGACTCCTATCCAGCGTTGAATTCATGATCATCTTGGCCTAAGCAGGCAACAACGTTGCTGTGTCTCATCTTCATAAATGGTACCACACCCACCATATTGTCCAAACTAGCATCTTAGTTAGGCATCGTCCTTGCCTTTACCCTTTTCCAAACTGACCCCCTCTCCCCTCCCGATCTAATGAAACTAATCAGCAATAGTTGCGCCTGTAGCCATCTATCTTTAAGATTGTTGCAAGGTTTTCCTGCTTCTGGTCTAGCCCCCCAGACTTTTCTATATGTTCTCCACATAGTAACCGTCCATAATGGTCTTTAAAGCATGTTTCTGATCATGTTGTTTGGCTTAATCAATCATGGTTGCCTAGTGCTCTCAGAATAGAGTAGAAACTTCTTAATATAATAAAGTTCCTGGTGTTATCTTCTTTGAACTGCTTGTAGTTACTAGATTTCCAAATTTCCGTATTCTTTTGGATTCCTACATGTACATACTCCCCCTTCCAAAACTTACTTTTTCTTGTTACCTGCCCTGGTTTTCAGGTCTAGATGTAGAGGTCCCTTGTCTGAAGCCTTTCCTGATGTCTCAAGACTAGGTTAGGCACTTCTTTTGTGCTCCTAAAGCACCCTGTGCCTACCCTGTCTTTGCAAAGTATGGCTCTTAGGTCCCTGAGTGCAGTGACTCTGTCCATTTCATACACAGCGGTGTGGTGCCTCTCACAAAAGGATTTGGTAAATAGTTCTTGGATGGATGAAGTAGATACTTAAATGTTTGAATGTGTGTTTATTTTTCTGATTGTACACTGGTGGTGTAAACAACTACCTCATTGTTTTTTAACTGCCTAGTGACTGGAAGTCTTTAACAAACTATATAGCTGTGCAAAAATTAGTTATTATGTATCTGAGTGATGTTCCCCAGGTAAATGGCTTGCAAACTGTCGGAATTTAGAGAAGGGAGAAGGTAGGGTTGGTTGGAGGTGGAACTTAGTCTGCACATTGAAAAGTAAGGGAAAATCGAATGAGTGAGGTGAATGCAAACCCCTTGTTTAATGGTCTATTTCCCGAGAGCTCTTAAAGGAGTAGAGCTCCCCCAAATAGGCAATCGGTACAAAGAGGCATCTGTATAGAGAAATTCTTAACCAATTTAGAGGCGATGCTTAAGATTTTAGTCCCTAAAGTGACCTTTTCTCTTTTCTTTGTCCTTTGCGATCTCAAATTATGATTTCCTGCGTAGTCTTCAGATGTGGGACTTGAAGTACTGGTAAAACAGCCTCGGATGTTCTGACTTGCCTGTCAGGAGCTCCCTGTTCCTAGAGAGCTGCGTGCACCCAGATAGGTCGCACTGATCTTTCAAGTGTGGCGGCCTCTGCCTTCTCCATTCGCTTCCCAGGCTGGGTGTTCAGTCAACAAATGGGGCACAGAAACTGTGTGAGGATTGAAAGGGAAGGTTCTTGGGATGTGACTACCACTGAGCTGTCCCCAGTCATCCCTCAGGGAGATTACCCGAGAGTGAGCTCTCAGAGAGACTTCCTTAGAGGAGCGGAGACGTGGTTCAGCCCACGGTGGGGCAGAACCGGAAGCCGCGGTCTGTGCTGCGGCCTGGGCAGCTTCGTCCCGCAGGGATGGGAGGACTGCCACCATAAAGACGCTGGAAAGGTCCAGAGTAAGTGCCCTGCACAGGAACCACTTTGCAAAGGCTCCCGCTGGCCTAATCTGGGACACTCTGAGCCTTACAAGAACAGGTTTTCTGCTCACAGAATAAAAGAAGAATCCAGTTCCTGAAACCCAGCTCCGTCCTGCCTCTCCGGGTCTCCAGGCCAGGGAAACTAAAAAGACCGTCATCCGACCCTCCTCCCTCCACACCCAGCCCACACTGCTGGGACAGACTGGGTAGCTGCCGCAGACCTTCCTGTTCCCAGGGGAGGAGACGGGAGTCACAGGGGACGGTAACTGGTCCAGAGCAATTCTGCAAGTCAGCTTGGGAAACGTTAGGAATTCCTTGGTTAGGTCCCAGGGCCTGGGAGCATTTCTCTCTGCTCCCAGCTCGACTCTCTGGGCTGTTGGCTCCACTGTGTGTGTCTTCCTTTCTTCCTCATGAAAGGAACTGCCTATTTGTAACAGAGTGACTTTCTCGGCCTGCTTCCTGGCAGTAGAATTTGGGGTGTTGAGTCACCTCTTTTCGATTTAAACACCCTGTGTCCCTTTTAGTCCAAGCTGACGGTGTTTTCGCTGGTACGGTTCTCTCAGACACGGCGTGGACCTTCTGTGAATCCTGTTGTGGCTCACTCAGCGGAAACAAGTCCCACCTTTCTTCAGGATAAACCCTCCTCTAGCTCGGGCTCCTGCTCGAATGGCTGATGGACGGTGCCCCAGACCTTCCGAGAGGCCCCGGCTTCGATCTGGAGGATCTGGGGGGCTCATCCTTCATCTCCGTCAAGGCCTTTTATGTGACTGTGCAGTGCTGTGACGCGCCTGCTTTGATCTACTGGGTGTCTTACCCCCAAGCTGTGCAGTCACACCCTCACCTTCTTCTTTAGATTATGCCTTTGATTTGGTCTTTCTCAGAAGTCATTTCTTACTCTGAGCTTCTGGAGAAGCTGAGAATTTTTAAAGGCTTTACGTCCTGGCTCCTTTTCGTTTAACAGTCCTTTTCTCGATTTCTCGATTTCTCGATTTCTCTCTCTCTCATTCTATGCGCTGCAGGGAGAGATAGGTGCCAGATTTGCCTACGTTGTAGGGAAATCTCAGATCACCCGCATCCGTTAGCATCTGCTTCCCGCGGAAGTGCGGTGGACGGTGAGCGTCCCATCTTCGCGTAACAACCAGGGTCTCCCTTCCGGCGTCTGACGGCACAGTCCTCGCCTCCTTTGGAACCTTCACCGCGGCGCCCAGGGTTCTGCCGACAGTTTCTTTCAAAACTGTTCAGTTTGAACAGACTTTGGTGACTGTACGGTGGCCGTGTAAGAGAATATCCTTGAGATACACGTGGGGTTGTCTAAGGGTCTGCACTTTGGTCCCAGTTGACTCAAGGACAAAAAATCGTGTGTCCACAGAGGAAAAAGCGGTAAAGCAAATGTAGTAAAACGTGAACACCTGTCCTTGCTCCTGCTGCTGTGCCCGATTGAGGCATTATCCCTGTGCCAGCCTGGGAACGGCAGCCGTCTCGATAAGAGGACGAGAGAGAAGGGAGCAGAAAAGAGGCCCTTCTGAAATATGTGGCAAGCAGATACCGAGAGAGCCAATTAGGATGCCGTCAAGTGCTCGTATGTAGGCCTTGGCCTTGCTACTCTAAATTAAGAACAGCAGTCTATTTGTAGCACGGCACCCACGAGCGCAGTGGCGTTAACCCTTTCTGTGTTTCCTGTGTACTCTCTCAGGAATGTAAAAGAGTTTAGGGTGTTTGTTTATATGTTGCAAAGCAATGTGATAAAGACGGGTTATTTGTCGTTTAAGAATCTTGCTACGATAAACGCTGTCTCGTACACTTTCAGCGGAAGGGTTAAATGTAAAAATAGCAATGACTGTGGGTCACATTCATCTGTGTCCTTTAATAGGACTGCCCGTCAGCGTTTCAGCGGTGGGCACCGTGTTTGCAAATCACTGCTGCTGTTTGGCAGGGCTCGTCAGGCCCAGGCCCTCCCCCGAGACAGGCCTTCCCAACTCTGGTTTTGCACAGCCCAGCAGGTCTGCGTTTTCCCTTAAATCCTAACAGCTGAGTTCATCTTCTAGCAGAATTCTCTGTCAGTAGAGTTAGTCCATACGAGGTTCACTTGCTGGTAGATGCTATAATCTTGTCCTAAATGGCAGGGAGATCGTCGTGGCAAAGATTGGTCCTTAATGCTGAGGCAGACAAAGAGCTTCTAAGCCGTCCACCTTGCCTTTAGGCTTCCTCACCCCCCAGTCTTTTTGCTGTGTTGCCACCGTACTTCCATCCCTACACCGTGAGCTGGGGTATGTCACGTTCTCATTCAGAAATCTGCCGGGCGTCCTCGCTGCCGTGACTCCTTAGCGCACACTCCTTAGCGTGACTTCCGTGTCTGTGTCGAGGGTGGTTCCTCATGCCCTTCCGACTTCCGTGTCAAGTCAGTCTTGCACCAGCCACACGGGTGGGTGTGCAAAAGGTGCCATGCGATTTGTATTTTCGTACTTTGGGTGCATTTCATTTCTTGCACTAGGAATCCTATCTTTTCCCTCCTTCGTGAAGCTCCCACAGGTTCAGGCAAAATCTGGCTTGTCCTTCAAGGCCCGGCTGGGGACCCCCTTCCTTGTGAAGGCTTCTCTGATATCCCTCTCCGGGTGCATCCACAGTATTCCTGTTGATTCTTCTCTTATCCCAGTTTTGCTACAGCCAGTTTGGGGGCGAGTTTTTTCACTTGACAAGAGCCGAACCTGATCACGGCCTGTCTGGAGGCTCCTCTTGTCATTGTAGTTTGTTGTAAGCATGAGGCTAATACAGGTTTTTGTTTACATGGCCTTATCTAAATGTTTTATTTCTTTTTTGCAAAAACAGTTTCTAAGTGCGTGGCAGATGTTTGACTAGCAGTTTACGTAAACTTTCGTAGCTTCTAAATACCTGATAAGATGGGAGTCATTGGTAGCAGAACTAGAACTCATTTCCTGGTTGTTTGAAGAATTTAAAAGAAGCGGTTTTTTTAATTAGTCTAACACCAAGGTTTCTAGTTACGTAGCATACGTTATTTTCCATTATTAGAAACGCTGCTGGGGGCGCCTGGGTGACTCATTTGGTTGAGCGTTCAACTCTTAATTTTGGCTCGGGTCATGATCCCAGGGCCATGGGATTGAGCCCCCAAGTGGGGCTCCAAGCTAGGCATGGAGCCTGCTTGGGATTCTGTCTCTCTCCCTCTCTCTCTGCCCCTCCCATGCGTGCGTGCTCACTCTCTCTCAAAATAAATAAACTAAAAAAAAAAAAAAAAGAATAAATAATTTTTAATTAAAGAAATAAATGCTGTTTTTACATTAATTATAGTGGAAATGCATGGCCACCTGTGAAAGCTTGTGAGCACATTTTTTGGAGCCACTTACACTTAGATAGCAAGGGGTGAGCATTTCCTGGTTTAGACCTATTCTGCACCTCTGCTGAGCTTTCCAGCATCAGAGACAGTGTTCTAATCATCTTCGTATTCCCTTTTATTCTCAGTATCTGATACAGATGATAGAGTAATGCCTGTTCAGTAATAATTTCTCATTCGTATTTCTCCTCCACCCGTTCTGTAACTACTTAATGTCCATACTTACCAAAGCCCGTGCAGCGTTAGAAACTTAACTCCATGAACCCTGCCAGTCATGAGTACAGTTCGGGTGGTGACAGCTTAGAAGAAAGAGTGCTTCTCTCGCATCCAAATGATCACCCCAGGGAGAATAAAAACCTCTGTATTTTCCAGTAAATGCTGTTCATTTGCATTTTTTCATTTGCATCATTGGTTTTAAATTACTAATTTACATTTCTGTGTTTTCCTTTTTGCAGCCATCAAAAATAAGGATTAACTTAGAAGATAATGTACAGTATGTGTCCATGAGAAGTAAGTTGATTCCTAAATAGGTTTTAGGTTTTGTAGTTTGAACTTCATGTGTTTTAAATGATTTATTTTAAATGTACATAAGTGGATTCAAAACTGAAAATGTATTATTTGTACATTGATTTTCGGCAAACACTTGTGAGGTTGTGGGCTGAGTAGTGTAAACAAATGTCAGTGTATTCTTTGCTGCTTAGGGAAATGCGTTTTAAAAATGGAATGGTCCGGGGTGCCTGGGTGGCTCAGTGGGTTGAGCGTCCAACTCTTGATTTCAGCTCAGGTCATGATCTCACAGTTCATAAGATCGAACCCCGCATCGGGCTCTGTGCTGACAGTGTGGATCTTGCTTGGGATTCTCTGTCTCCTGTCTCTCTCTGTGCCTCCCCTGCATACATATGCTCTGAATGAATGAATGGTCTATGTTTAAGGGTGTTTTCTCGAAGTTCTGTGAGAGCGATTACATGTTGCTTTCAGCAGAATTGAAGGCCATTGACCACAGTCAGGAGAACCAGTCTTTTGCCTTCCAGATTCCTGGGACTCCCTTTGCTGTCTCCCACCTCTGCCACGGACCAGGGCGCGGAGTCAGTTAAAGGAGGCGAAGTGCCCATTGCTCTAGTTCCCTATCCTTCTGGAAATTACAACCGTAGAACGCCCCACCCCTGATTTTCTCTTAATTTTGGTCCTAACCGCGATGGATGGACAGTGCATGGATCCCAGATAAATCTTAATATCAGCCCTAATTTCTCCTCGGCCCCTGCCACAATCTCACCTGTAGTTGGTCGGTTTTACCTGTGAAGCGTGTCCTCCGTCCGGCCCACAGCACCACCTCACGGTAACATCTAACACATGTCGAGCTTATACGGTACGAGCTGTGTTAAGCTCTTTGCATGGATTATCACTACAACCCTTTAAAATGTAAGCGTGGATTGTTTTTCATTTTTTATAGTTGAGTAAACTGAGGCCCAGAGAGGTCAAGGGACTTGCTCAGTCGGGATTCAATTCCCCACCTCTCTGACTTCACCTCTAGTTGTAAGCACGGGGCTAGACCCCTGCTTCTAGTGTAGACTCTCCGTCTCTCCCTGCCTGATGTGGTAAGATAGCCTCCTGAGTAGGTTGTCTGCCCATAGGCTCTTCCACGCTGCTGCTGGTGTGATTTTCCTAACACAGAAATGGGATCGGGACCTCCCTCGACCCGGAATTTTTCCACGATGTTCTGTTACATACAGAGAAAACTCCGACTCCTCGTGTATTTCATTTTACTTATTTGTGTTAAACTTTTAAGCCACCTCAGATCCTTAAGAGGAGCAAGGCTGTGGAGAGCGGCCAGGTGGAAAGACGGGGCCCTTGCACGTTGTCTCTTGCCCCACGGGCGGCCTGGGCCTCCAGCTGCCGCCCTCACCCATCGCTGAAGCTCTGCCTGCTGGGGGTTCCCTACATACACCTGTCCTCAGACGCAGCTCTGTCTTTCGACGTGCTGTTTCCTCTGTCTCATATTAAGCCCCTTGCCCTCTGTCAAGAGGGGAGACACCCTCCTCTTCACGTTCGTGTCCTCTGCCCACACACCCGCTTCGTGAGGACTTCCTTCCTTCCCATGCCGGTTAGGTTTCATCTCGTCTTCTCAGGCAGCTTGGACACCTCTCTTAGCACAGACCTCAGGGCGTTGTGATCGACTAGGGAACATCTTCACTTTGAAGACCTTTTTAAGTCATGTTTATGTTCTTTCAGCAACTATCATATTCTAGGTTTTCAGTTAACATCTGTTCTTTCTAAAGTGGCTAACATGGTGGCAGTGTTCTTATCCTGAGCTTGTAAGACCATGTTTTGTTAGTAATGAGGGTGATTAGATTTATGCTTTCTGAAGTTAGAATTTCTCGAGCGCCTGGGTGGCTCAGTTAGCCAAGCATCCGACTCTTGATCTGGGCTCAGGTCACGATCTCACAGTCGTGGGATCGAGCCCCGTGTTGGGCTTTGCACTGAGCACGGAGCCTCCTTGGGATTCTCTCTCTCCCTCTCTCCACCTCTCTCCGCCTCTTCCCGCCTCTCCCCGACTCTCCCCAACTCGTGCTTGTTCGCTGCCTCTCAGAACAAATAAATCAACGTTAAAAAAAAAACCCTAATAAAGTTAGAATTTCTCTTTTGTAGTCTTCAACGGGTTTTGGTAGAATTCTGACTTCTAATTTAAATGAAATTTTCATTCCTCCCTAATCTCATTTAATCCGAAGTGTAGGAGTGGTCTCCACAGAGAAGACATGTGCATTATAAAATACATACTTCTGTTCTTGGAGTAACCACCAACAGCCTTTAAAGTGAATGTGACATTGTAGAGATTCTGAACACGGGAATTTCCGATTGAAGATAGCATGAATATTTCTTCTGAAGCGTACTGGTCATTGTCTGCTGTGAAAGTAGCAGAAAGGAGAGATCATATTCTCCACCCCAAAAGGGCAGCTCCGTGATTCCTGAAACTATTTACTCTGCACACCAAACTATTAAGAACTTGTTTTTTAGTATCAAATTAGGGAAAGATGAAAGGAACGTAATACTCAGTTCTGAGGCCCTCATTCACTGTGTGAAATCGGTTGGCTAGCAGGTGTAACAGCACATGTTCACACTCCTTAAAGTACCCTTTTACCCATCAGTTCCAAACCGCAGAACTTACCGGAAGGAGACAAAGATGCAGACAGAAATTTAGCTGCAGGGAGATTTATTGAAGTATTGGACAAAACAGCAAAGTTGGAGACAGTTGGAATTTCCAGTATCGGAGTAAGTGTAGCAAATACTCCATGAAGTGAACTATCACGCAGCCCTTCAGAATAACGTTGAAATACATTTGTTGACAAGCGACGATGTTCACGATGTTGAGTTAAAACAACATGCTAGAGGATAGTCTGTTCTTTTGTTTTTAAAAGTCACGTATGCATATTGACAGATAGGTGTATGTCTGTGTGTGGAGGGGGCCGGGCATGTATGAAAAACCAGAATCACAGTAGGTGAGGGATGGAGGGAATTAAAGACATTTTCCCCCCTTTATTTGCTTATCTGTTAACATAGGCTAGTGAATATTTAAAAATGGAATAATAATCAGTTTGAAGACTTTTGCTTTTCCTCAAGGTATGTCTTAATTGTTCTAATGGAAGACCAGTTTGAGCTCTTACAGAAACTTCCATCAGGGTTACGCTGTGACACGTACAGGAACGTTTTAAGTATTAAAGAGAAAAAGCCAAGTCTCTGCCTTTGCTTCTATAAAGAACGTCTTGGGGCGCCTGGGGGGCTCAGTCGGTTAAGCATCCATCTCTTAATCTCGGCTCAGCTCATGATCTCACAGTTTGAGTTCGAGCCCTGTGTTGGGCTCTGCGCTCACAGTGCAGAGCCTGCTTGGGATTTTCTCTCTCTCTCCCCTCCGCCAGACCGCTCCCCCTGCTCGTGCCCTTTCTCTCTCTCAAAATAAACTTAAAAAAATTCTAATCCTGTTCCTGAGAGTGGTGTAGGTACAAATGCAAACTCTCCGCTTTATGTTTGAGAAGAGGCCGCAGACCCCTGCAGATTCCCGTGTCCAGAGGACCAGGCTCCATATTTCAGATACTCTGTTAAGTCTAAAGCCTTTGCTTACTTGGCATAGGCTGATACATTTTGATCTGGTGTGAGAAATCTAGTTCATAAAAATCAGCTATGATGTGTTCAGTATGTAGAATTTCGATGGGTGTCTATGCTTACTGAGGAGATAAATTATTTTTTTTAATGAGCTGAGAAAGAAATGCTATAGAGTATTTTACAAATTTGTTTGTTTTGTTTCCCAGAAGCTCTAAAAGTGAAGAGACCTCGTTTTGATGTATCTCTGGTTTATTTAACTCGAAAATTTATGGATCTTGTCAGATCGGCTCCTGGGGGGATTCTCGACTTAAACAAGGTCGCCACGAAACTGGGGGTGCGGAAACGAAGAGTATATGACATCACCAATGTCTTAGATGGAATCGATCTGGTTGAAAAAAAGTCTAAGAACCATATTCGATGGATGTGAGTTGGTTTTGAACTTTTCGTGCTTTTTTTTTTTTTTTCCTTCTCTTTAAGTGACAATACCCAGGTTTGAAACAAACTAGTATTTGTAGTGTTTTGACAGGACAAAACAAAGTAAGATATGGCTTCTTGCTAGAAAAAGATTCTATAAAAATTTTGTTCATTTGTTGTCGCACAAGGTACATAAGTATTTTTTTTCCTACTTAGGACTGAATAAAAGCCATAGATCTAGGATATCGTTCTGGTGTTATGGAAAAGTTAAACGGAATAATAATTGGTTTTAAGACTTGCTTTTCAAGATCATAAGGAGATCTTAAACATCTGATTGTTTAGGAAATTTTTTTCCAATTGGTTATTGCTATCAGGAAGAAATTCGCTAAGGTCGTCGTAAGACAATGTAATGTAATAAACGCTTAGAGGCTTCCTGCTCCAAGAGTTGTAATTCATTTGTTCTGGGGGAAGGTGGGAATCTCATCTTCCTTCTTAATTACCCCAGGTGGTTATGAGTCTGATTGACTATGGATCCACACTGTCTTGAATGTAAAAATAAAAATCAGTGGACCATGTCTAAAAGGCAATTGCTAAAGACTTTATTTTTGATGAGGAAGATCCCATGGAGAAAAAGCCCATGGCATAGACGTAGATACACCCATGGATGTGTGTGTGCGTACGTGCACGAGAAGAAAGCTGTTAATACACATGTGGATGTGGATATGTGTGTGCATGAGAAGAAAGCTGTTAATACTTCTGACAGGCAAATATTTTGGAAGAGTAAGAAACAGTTCCAGCTTCGAAGTGCATGTAAATACATTTCATTTCAGGCAATGACAGATGTCCCAACAAAGATCATGAAATGGTTTTAAATAACGAACTTTGCTGATAGAGGAAAGGGGTTCATAAAGGAAGTTATTTTTTTCAGCAATACAGAAATGCAGATTGAATTCTAATCTGAACGTGTTTGCTAAATAACATTAATAACACCTTAGGGGTTAATATCAGATTGCATTCCGAATCGCTAATTGCAATCAGGTTTGAAAAGTAGCAAGCAAATGGTAAAGTAGTAACAGCCTTTTTCCTCATTATTTTTCATGAAGAAGAAAAACAATGAGTATCAGTTGCTCGGGTCAGATCATAAGCACTGCGATAAGGTAGACAGTAATAACTAAAGAAAATACATCTTTTAAGAATAATGCATACAATCTTCTATTCAGCTCGAACCAGATAGAAGATGCGCATTAGGGAGAATCCTCAATTTTATCAGAGGAGCTGTCATTTTAGTCAGAGCCCCTTGTTTGTCATCAGGGGACTAAAAGATTACAACTTCTCAAAAGTCCTGCTCTCAGTGCTAGAGCTGGGACCTAACCTGGGTCTCGTTGACTCTTGGGCGGTGCTCGGTGTGCTTCGTCCGCTTTGCCCACCACTCAGTCTCCGTAGAGTTCTGACGGTCCCTTGGGTCTCCTCAGATCCCTGTGTAAGAGACTAGAACGGGGACGGAAAGCAGTGTAGCTCTACGAAGAATAATGGTTGTCTGGAATACAGGGAGGTCAGGAGTGAAGTGAAGTACCTAGTTTTGTCTGTCGCTTTGGGAAATGCCTGATGTCAACATCGGGAGAAGTTCCAATAACCTAACTTGTGTCTTCATCTCCTGGAGGTGACTCACAGGGAGTTTTTTGTTTGTTTTTGTCTTGTCATTACTATTATTTTTTTAAATGCCTTTCTCTTAAAGAGGGTCTGACCTTAGCAATTTTGGGGCGGTGCCTCAACAGAAGAAGCTGCAGGAGGAGCTTTCTGACTTATCAGCAATGGAAGATGCTTTGGACGAGCTGATTAAGGACTGTGCCCAGCAGTTGTTCGAGTTAACAGATGACAAAGAAAACGAAAGATATCCTTTAACTCTGTCCTTTAAAAAAAAAAAAAAAAAAAAAATTCCCCTTCCAAGGCAGAGGTTACTTTAAATAGTAGGGTCAGCCTGGGAATTTAATTCCTATACTCAGGATACAAAATTAGACCTTCAGAAATTTTGAAGTAACCAAAGAGTTAGGAGTATAGCCTCAAGCATACACAGATAATTGCCTTTTCCTCTTTCGTGTGGCATTTGTTCAGGTCAAATGCTACATTCAGACCGTGTACCAAGGTTCATGTTTGCATATCAAATTAAAATAGTGACACATTCTTGCTTCGTGTTTTAGTCAGAATGCTGTAAAGATAGCAAACTATCTTTTGTGAAATTGGCTTTTGTGAAATTCAGGTTTTCCCTAATTTGTTAACTGAGGTTTCTTTTTCTTTTTTTTTAATTGATATGTATTCATTTTTGAGAGACAGAGTGCAAGTGGGGGTGGGACAGAGAGAGCGAGACACAGAATCCAAAAGAGGCTCCAGGCTCCGAGCTGTCAGCACAGAGCCCGACGCGGGGCTCGAACTCACAGACTGTGAGATCATGACCTGAGCCGAAGTCGGACGAGTTCGGTCTGACTGAGCCATCCAGGCACCCCACTGAGGTTTATTTCTGAAACGATGACATTGCCATTGAAATGGCAGTGGATGAAATGGCAGCTGCCATTCTGGTCCACAGAGCGCGGTGTAGCTACATGGGACCAGCGGGGCAGACCTGTCTTTGGCGGCGATCTTCTGGGTCTCCTGGGCCCACCTACTGCTCTGTTTTCACTGCACCTTTGCGAGGCTCCACTGGTTCCGAGCTGCTTCATGCTTTGAGTTTACTCACACTCCGCATCAGTTAAAACCTATTTTCACAGTACAGTTATCACAAGGGAAATAAATGCTGTTCCTCTACCTAATCGGAAAGTCTGTGAAGTAAGCAAAAAAAGAAAGAAAACGTTGGGGAAATGCAGTAAGTCACTTAATTGGTAACATTTCAGCAACCCAGTAAAAGAAGAAGAAAAAAATTCACATAGTGAGATGGAAAATCATTTGGGATGTGGGAAATCCCATGAGTACATGGTAGTCCTGGAACACATATTCTCCAGATTGATGCCACTTTTTTTTTTTTTTTTTTTTTTTTCTTTTTTACAGACTTTTTCCACCTTGCATTTTTGGAGAGTCTCATCAAAATTGAGTATTTTTTCCCCAAACGTTCTCATAGTTAGATCTAGCATCGAATAGGGAATTGGGGGCAGGGAGCAGTTAAATACCTTCACCTGAGGTTTTTGTGTGTGTGTGTTACGTGTACGTGGACAGTTTGTCCGGAAATTGTCACCATAGTCACGACGGTAGGCTTTAAAGGAATTCTTTGAGCTGTACATATTGTAAAACATTTTGTAAAGTCTAAAGAATTGTTTATGAAGTAGTAAGAGTTATATATGAAATGATTTTCTACTAATTGCTTTCCTTAATTGTGAGTTTGTAGCCCATAAAAACTACAGAGATTCTAACATGACACTTATATTCGTGTATTATCAGAGATCAGTTATCTCCTCCGTAAGTAGCATTCTGCTTAGAGACCCTTGACTGACGTTTACACTAGCGTACGTGACGTATCAAGATATTCACAGCATCCAAGCCTTCCACGAACAGATTGTTATCGCAGTGAAAGCTCCGGCAGAAACCAGATTGGATGTCCCAGCTCCCAGAGAAGTAGGTATCCCTGCATGTTTAAGAAGACCTTGTAAAGAATGGGGGCAGGTCAACTGTTCAGGCTGCTGTGTTGCAGTCGTAATATCTTCACAAGCATTATGTGTGTGGTAGTTGCACATCTGACGTCGCTTTGCACGTTTTAGCTTGTTTTGCATAACACAACAAAGGAAGCGGTCATGATCACGATCCTCTGACAGGGGAGGAATCTGAAGCACAGAAAGATTAACTTTCTCATGGTCACACAGTAAGCGACAGGCCGGAATTCAAACCCAGATGGTTTGTCTCCAGAGTATGTTCTTGACCATTGTTCTGTCCGTGAACTCTTCCTGTACTATAACGCGCTGCAGTGCCTCCACTTGCCACAGTATGCCATAACCTATTGCAATGCCTGCTAGAGGAATCTCCCAAGAATTGGCCCCATTGCTGAAGTGCCAGATTGGGTGTCGGTCAAGGCTCTAGAAGTTCACTCTAACCAAGCTCATGAAAGACTAAAGAAAGAATAAACAGGAACGCTAAGTGGTACATTTAATTTTTTTAGAATTGTTTTTCACTGTTTATTTTTGAGAGAGAAAGACAGAGCATGAGCAGGGGAGGGGCAGAGAGAGCGGGAGACACAGAATCCGAAGCAGGTTCCAGGCTCTGAGCTGTCAGCACGGAGCCCGACATGGGACTCAAACTCAGGAACCGTTGAGATCATGACCTGAGCCAAAGTCGGACATTTGACTGAGCCCCCCCAGGCGCCCCCTAAGTGGTACATTTAATACAAAATGTAAAATTGCTGTATAAATGAAATGCTTATCAGCCGCCAGCTGCTTAGCACACTCTTTCCCTTGCAGGAAAGTTTATATTGAAAGATAATTGTCATCAGAAGGTTGCTTGGTAAGGATGGAATCAGGACCAAGGAATGTGGCCATTCTTGGGGCAGATCGTCAAGTTCTGACAGCCTGTAGGCCCATCGGTGCTCATAGTGACCGCTCTGCGTTGCTATAGGGGCTTCCCTCCCTCACAGTGAAGAATGTTCTTACCACTCATCTGTCCTTTCATCCCCACCAGACCACTGTCCAAGTGAGCGCCATGTTGTTACTTGACAGTGTATTATAAGTCAGTCAGGGGACAGCCTTTAATCTAGTCACACGCAAATTGTGACTTCTTGGTGACGCTTCCTCATTATTTTATTTAGATTTGGATATAATCCAAGTCTCCTAAGCAACATTTGTGTTTAATAGGAGTCGTTTGAGAGATGGTCAAACTTTTTTTAAATAACCACTAATCTTTCAACACATCCTTACCCGGGGACATGATAGTCCATTCGGCAGTGACTGACAGGGTTTTGGTTTTTTCCCCCTGCACTACGAGCTGCCTCAGGCCGTAATTGCCAGATTTTGCTGGGTTTTTTGATCCCTCCCAAGACTGAGAGTCCAGTTTGAAGGCTGAGGAACGTGGGCCCTCTGGGCAGCCCTGCTCCGCGGTCGGGCAAGAGCAGGAGCAGTAGACAGGAGCACACTGCGTGCAGGGGAGCCCGCCGCCCGCAGAGATCCAGGGCGAGATCTGGGGAGCTGGTGGCAGGGTGGTTGGGCTTCAGGTCAGATCTGGCTCGCTGGCTTTGAGGCATAGTCTTGTTGGGACACAGCCACCTGCCCGTTTGTTTAGATATATTGTCTCTGGCCGCTTTCAGTCTGTGATGGCAGAGTTGTGTAGTTGTGACACAGAGATCGTATGGCCCACAAGCCCCTTCGCGGAAAGCGTTTGTCAGCCCTGATTTGGTGGCGTAGGAAGTCCTCGGCTGGCTGCCAGTTCCGAGCAACGTCCCAGTTTCTTTTGTTTAGAGATACTTTTTGAGTGGTGTAAGATAATACCGTTCAAACCAGACCTGGCCTGGCGATCTAGAGCCCTGAGCATACGTGTACTTTCTCTGGCCTACACGTCTGGTACCAAGAAGCCCCTCTGAGAGACCGCATCTCACCGAGCCCTATTAGGAGATGACAGTGAGGTTTGTGGGGCAGGAGGGGGCCCCGGTGTCTGTGCCAAGCCCGGGCCTCCCCGCGTGAAAGGGGAAGAGAACAGACTCTGTCACAGTTGGACCCTCTTCCAGTCAAAACAGCAAAGGAATCATGTATAACTGGAACCGTTCCTTCAGATTTTGGCGTAAATTGGTTCATTTCGGGGTCCTGGCACACACACAAAGATGATGATTTAGCATAACTGTCAGTAGAAGCCCCTATTTCCTGATACCTTACAGAAAAAATAACTAACCCTGAGTAAATTGAAAAATCCAAAGCCAAAAGATGTGAATAATCGTAATTAATTAATAGTCCTTTATACGCAGTACTTTTTAAATCTTTTTTAAGTCACTAAGGTACGTTTTGTCAGGATCTCATCTTTTTCACGTGGACGAAAGAACGGCTCTTCCAGTTAACTCGGTACCTCTCAGGGGTCAAAAACTCTGAACACACCTTCTTATTTGAGACTACAGGGTATTTTAGATTTCTCTGTTATCCAGACACTGATCGTGGACCCTCAGGGACCGAGTCCTAGAAGGGGTCAACTCCTTGAGTAGAGAAAAATGGGCTCTTGCGTGCTGAAGTAGTCACATCATGACTCCCATCCAGTCGTCGTTTCAGCCCCGTGAGCTGGCCGGTGGCTTATTGGCCAACACTGAAGTGACTAAAGCCACGTACGTGGTTTTGTCAAATACACAATAGAAAGGAAACCACCCGCGTTTAAATTTTCAGCAGTATCCCTTGAATTGGCCACGTCCGTGGTTTTTTCAAATATACTATAGAAAGAAAACCACCCGCATTTAAATTTTCAGCAATATCCCTTGAATGGAAACTTTTGCAGTTCTAGTGAGTGAAAAAATATAATCAGTGAATAGACATCCTGACATGTCTTCTTTAGGGTGTTTTATTTATATTTTACCAGGACTCTATCACAGTACACATAAGAAGCACCAAAGGACCCATCGATGTTTATTTATGTGAGGTGGAACACGATCATTCGGGTAATAAAGTGTCTGAAGGAGCGGGCACCTCTTCATCTAAAAACAAACATCCAGAACACCCCGATAAAGGTAAGTATACCAAGGGTGTGATGAGGAAAATTGAAGATTCTGATGGCTTTTTACAAAACCATACAAAACAAATTTGTATATTTGTATATACAAATATATATATATGTAAAAAATCATTAGAATCTTAAATTCGTGTATATACATATGATTTTTAGTATATTGTTACAAATGCATCTTACGGCCTTACGGATATTTTTACTCTTTCTAGCCACGAAAACACGAGTTAAAGAATTACAAGGTAATTTAGACTATTAGACGACAAGGTAGTTTAGCCTGTTTCTAACAAAAATAGAGTTAGATGCTGTGCAGTTTTGATCTCGAAAACTTAGAATCTAGTCGGTCCCGTGGTGGTGCCTCCCGGCGCGGCCTCTGGGTAGAGAAGCCGTCTCCGTTCTGACGGGTGCTGGCGGGTGCACGTGCGACCTCGCTTGACTCTGGGGAGACTTACAACAAGAGCCTGTGCCATTGACAGAACGGTGTGGCTGTTGACCAGGGCTCTTCAGGGTTCTTTTAAGCACTTGAAGTGCGTGTTCGCTTACCTGTCCGCCTTTCAAACCCTCACTCAGGAGAATTTCTTCCGTGTTTGTTACTTTTCAGAAGAAAAGCCTCCACAACAAAGTGAAGAATTACTTGAAGTGAGCAACTGACACCATTTGCAGATGCATGTATGGAGTTTTGGGGAGCATCCCGTGTGGATGAATCATGCATCAGATTTGATTCTCAGAGCAATAAATCATCCACGAAGTTCTCTGCTTCTCCGAGACAGCATCAAGGCCAGTGGTGGCTTTGAGGGGTTCACTACTTAGGTCTACTGGTTTCTGCATTTGAAAACAACTCTTTTTATAATTATTCACTGCTTTTTGTCAGTGAAATAGACACCCTGCCTACTGAAATAATACTCTTCCGTCACGGAGAGTATCCCTGAGAAAGGCGGTCGGGCCTGAAGCAGACCGTGCTTTGTGGACTCTGCCCTTCCCTTCAAGGATCATGTGTCATTATCACGCAGGAAATTGCCTTACGCGGGTTCATGTCTGCAATTAGCTCTTGGATGAGTATACACAGGCGTCTAACCGTGATGTCTCTGTATATATCTGTATAATGTTTAGATGACTTATGTAATATGTCTAAGTAAAACTTTCCACCCTTGTACAGCCAAAATAATGTATATATGGAAAGTAACAGACAAATTCTCTAATTTCTGTGGTATTGATAACTTATTAGAATCCTCAGAATGGGGGTTAGAGGAAAGTTTTTTCCAAACTTCTACATGTAGAAGTATCATAAATATGCTAGACATTTGAACATCATGGATTTAATTAAAGTGTTTCCATATGGTTCCCAGTGCTGAAATTGAAATCTGATACTTCTTGATTTCAAGCTTCCTCCAGGGTTAGTGTGTGTGAGCCGGTTAATGCGGGCCCTGAGGCTTTAGGGGCAAGTATAGAAATACTATCAGGTAATGGCTTAATTCTTTGCAAGACATGAATTTAATCATGATGAAAATTGGAAACTATTTTAACCTTTTTGCAAGCAGATTTTGTAACGTTTCTGTATGCAGCCTCGCTTTTCAATCAAAGGGGTTTACTTTTGATGAGTTGGTTGTACCCTGCCCTCTCTCCAGCTCTAGTCCCACATTTCCAAGAACCTAGCTATTTCTACCTCATTGGGTAAATCATTTACCACTCTGTGCCTCAGTTTACTCAGTAGTTTACCATTAGACTGTGAGCTCCTTGAGGGACTTTGTCTTAATCATTGTTATACCCAGCGCCTTGCACCATGCCTGGCACATAAAAAGTGCTCAATAAATGTTTGAACAAATCACTGAGTGAGTGAGTGAGTTGTAAAATTCATCTGAAAACACTCGTCTGTCGTACAGGATTCTTGTCAGCGTCATGCAGAGTCCTGTTTTAAACTTCTCTCGCTTTCAGAGAGAGATTTGAGGCAAGTTGAAATTAAAACCGTGTAAAAAAAAAAAAAGATAATTCAAGAGGAGTCACAAATCAAAATACTGAAAAAAAATGCCGAGGGCTGGGATCGAGTTACCTCCAAGCTCTGCGGTGCGATTCGGCAGACGTCAGGTCGTGTGCGAAGACGGATACCGTGCGACTGGATGAGCCCATCTAACGAGGGGGTGAGCCGGAGCAGAGGAGCGACCCGCGGACGCCTCTTCTTAAGAGGAGATGCAGAATAAAAAGCCTCTCCTGAGCAGGAACGATGGGCTGGGGAGAAGGTGGTGGCCCCGGAAGCCTTGCCGAAAGTCCGCCGTTCGTAACCAGCGGTTCGTTCCTTAAGTGTGAAATGTGACAACACTTGTGATTTACAAACTGCTCTGAGATCACGTAAGCAAAAGTCCTTTGTCTGCCGGAGGCGTGTTCTAGAAATGAATCTCTCTTTGTCACTTTGTCTTCAGGTGTTTGGTCTCTAATCTTTACAACCGCCAAAGCGGGCATCCTCAGGACTGGTCCCACGGCCCTGCCACCCGCTCCCGGGCTCAGCGTCGCCGCCCGCCTGTCTGTGAGGAGACCGCCACTTACTTTCGTGTCGCTCCCCCAGCTCAGGGCTAAAGAACCCCTGAGTGTTCCCCTACTTCCTTCGGGCTGAAGTCCACACTCGTGATGTAGAAGGCCTCCCAGCCGGCCCCAGCCTACTGTCCAAAGCTTGTTACTTGTTGGACAAGCCCCCAGCCCGGACCAAGTCGACCTGGTTGCTGTGCCTTTGCTCTTACCCTTTTGCCTGGGATTGTCCTCTCATCTTTCCAGAATTAGGTCTTCATTCTGGACCTGGCTTAAACCCCTCCTTCCGCTTCGTGCCCTCGCGCCTCCAGTCACTACAGAGCATTTGGTAGCCACCCTCTTCGGTGGCTGTTAGGTTTTCCCAGCGCGTGTTCTGTGCTCTCAGAGTGGAGGGCCCACACCTGACGTGTTCGTAGTTCTCGTATTTAGGTACGTTTCCGTATGTTTTGGCTGGTTGGTAAGAAAAGTGACCTGATTTCGTTCACCCTGACTCCCAGGAATTTAAAAACAAACTCTGATTTTGCAAAAACACTGACCAACAAACTGAATTTTCGCTGGAAGAAAAAAAATTACCACTCTGTACCAATTTTGCATCTGCGTTTTGTGAACTCCCGGCACATCTGCCTGATTGTCCCTCACCTCGGCAGAGGAAGACCTTTGTGATGTGAGCACGCCCTTTTCAAGAGGGAGGCTTTAAACTTGAGTCAGTAAGGACCCCTTTTGTCCCTCCCTTTGGACCGGGGTTTGGCACCAGGGACGCATGTCACAGCTGGTGTCGAGTTGGACGCTGAAGGTCACACGAGTGAATGGTCGCGCCTCTAGAGGCTTGAGGGCCTTAAGACAAAAACAGCATTTCTCTTGGGAATGTGAGTGAGAAGGCATGGCTCAAAATCTAAGAAATCTGGAGCGCCTGGGTGGCTCAGTCGGTTAAGCATCTGACTTTGGCTCAGGGCATGATCTCATGGCTGTGAGGTCGAGCCCCGTGTCAGGTGAGCCCTGCTTCTCTCTCCCCCCCCCTCCCCCTCTCTCT